TTTATTCATAAAGGAGTAAGAGTTGGAGCTTAGCAGAATTATCGTATAATAGTATGTCACACTAAATCGAAAAATAAAAGTTTTCATGATCCTAAATGAGTAGACTCCATGGACTTATTATATACTTAATCTTATTAAATTCAATGAACAACTTATAAGAACAGTGTACTTAAGTAACTAAATGTTTTTTTTAAGTTTTTACAAAGTTACACACTATTTTTGCAAAAAAGGTGGTTGTAACAATGTTTTAGAGGAACTAAATTTGTTAATAATTCATGATATCATTCTTATTAAAATAATCATTGATGTGTACATAAGTATAATTAATGTCGGGCTTTATAAGTAAGTACTTAATATTACGATAATATTAGCAACGAAGGCTCATTATCACCTTAATTCCGTTTCACTAGATCCTGACTCGTGAACTTTGACCTTAAGGATTCCGTTGCGCATATTTGTGCTTACAGTAGTGCTATTCTGTAAGAACAAACTCATTTTTCACCGCGGAATCCGCAATGTGATTTGAAATTACAATAAGTAATAATATATAATAATAACAACATTCTAATTTCAAATCCCCTAGGGGATACCGCGGGGAAAAGTGAGTTTATTCTTAGAGAGAGAAGAGCATAATCTTATATATAAAATTCTCGTGTCGCGGTGTTTGTAGTTAAACTCCTCAGAAACGGCTTTCCCGATTCTCATGAAATTTTGTGTGCATATTGGGTAGGTCTGAGAATCGGACAACATCTATTTTTCATCCCCCTAAATGTTAAAGGTAATCCACCCCTAAATTTTTTTTTTCAATTTTAGATATTTTTTTTTTTAATTTTTTTATGATACATCATACACGAATACATACAACCCTATATTTTCACCCTTCTACCACCAACCCCTATTTTTTATGACGGTACGAAGTTCGCTGGGACAGCTAGGTATTATATAAAAACTCACCTACACTATGCTAAATAAATATTATATCAATTGCGGCAAAATAATACTCAGAGAATACTTCCAAAAGCATTAATAAGTTTTGAAAAACAAACTTTAATAAAAGGCATCCATAAATATTGCCCGAACGAACTCCTTATTCCCAATTAAAGAAAAATACATGTTTTATTATTTAAGTGTGCTTGCTTATGAGTAACTTTAATTAATTTTGTTCGTAGCTCAGTAAAATTAAATGTTTTTATTAACTAGAACGTAACTTGAGTAGTAAGTTAGACATTAAGGCCCGTATTACAGAATGACAACTAAGGTCCGTATTATAGAAAGATTCTCAGGGATTGATCTAGTCTTAAGCATAGTTAGAAAGGGATGTCGCTATATATAGCACATACAAGGGCGGATCCAGGTTTGGCGCCAGGGGGGGGTCATATAGTCGTGGTATATTAAATATTGAAAGTACTTAAATAAAATCCCCCTGGGTTTGGTCCATCTGTACCCAGCCCAGGGGGGGGGTCATGACCCCCATGGCCCCCCCTCCCCCTGGATCCGCCCTTGAGCACATAACGACATCCCTTTCTTACTGCACTCAAGTAAAGATCAACACTTAGTTGTCATTCTGTAATACAGGCCTAAGGCCCGTATTATAAAAAGATTCTCAGTAATTAATCTAGTCTTGAGCATAGTTAGAAAGGGATAACACTACATATAGCACATAGCGACATCCTTTTGTAACTGTACTCAAGTAAAGATTAACACTTAGTTGTCATTCTGTAATACGGGCCTAAGTGTTGATTTTTCTTTACTTGAGTACAGTTAGAAAGGGATGTTGCTATGTGCTCTATATAGCTACATCCCTTTCTATCTATGCTCAAGACTAGATTCATTACTGAGAATTTTTCTATAATACGGGCCTAAATCTAGTACATTTTAGGAGAGGTAGGGCATAGTGGCTTTGCCGCTTGAATTGGAGCGCTCGTCTGGGGCAGTAACCTCCACCTTACAGAAGACGACATTAAATTAACCCTACGTTTTGGTGGTGTTGTGTTTCTTTTGGTGAGTAGGCTCTAGAGTTCTACAGGGTAGGAGATTCGACCAGGGGGGCAATCGCCTATCGATCTTTGCTAAGGCTATCGCTATCGATTGCGATTTCATTTTGTTATTTCTGACCGTCGAAGGTTTTGAAAGGCCTCGCGTTCGTTTTTTTTCTTTTCTTGAAAACCTTCGGCGGTCAGAAATAACAAAATGAAATCGTATGCCATCGCGATAGCCATAGCAATCCCGTTAGGCAAATGACACCCAGGGTAGACAACGCCGCAAGCGATATCTTGGTATCGCAACTGTCTATAAGCTATGGTGTCCGCTGACCATGGGGCGGCTATTTGCTTGTTTAACATAAATTATTTTTTTTATTTAACATAAAAAAAATACCTGATTTACGGACCTACGTTACGTTGTAAGTTGAAAAAGTCCTTTGCTAATGTTTTAGCCAGTTCAAGGTCTCCTGCTGTAGTTTTTAGTAGTAGGGCCAATATGGTAGTTTCTCTATCCACCTATATTTTTCACTTTAATTTATATACGCCTGTGGAAGCCTTATTAACCATTTAAATTCAATAAATACATATAAAATGTATTTAATTATAATTTATGAACAGCATTTATCATTTCAAATCATTCATTAATTTTCAATCAACAGTGTTCATGATGAGTGAAAAGAAGTACTTTATCCTTTTTATATAACCTAATAGTTGATTTCTTCTCTGAGTTTAGTCGTAAGTGTGAGAACTGTGGTCATACCTATATTAACATCTCAACGCGGAACATGGTTAAATAAAATGTTAGCACCGTTCCGAGACCTAAATTCTAAAACACCAAGTACGCAGCGGCTAAAAATGTAACGGTATGTTTGCCAAATCAGTCATATTATGTTTGCGCTAAGTGAATGACCTCCAATTCGCGACAACGAAAATGGCCGCTGGGTCTGGTCTTTTTTGATTCACTCACCTTACAATCTAAAATCCTTTGACCTTTTTTAGGGTAATGTTAAATATTATGTATATATAAGCTCTTGTCGACAGCCCCTTGTAACCTTTACAAGTGCTCTTCTATACTAAATATGATAAAACGAAAGATTTGCATGTTTGTATCGAATAAACTCAAAAAGTACTGAAACCATAGCTACATTATTCCTGACTCATGAGAGAAATGGGCTACATTTTTATGTGTGATGAATAGTTTAAAAACAACTAAAAACATGTTTAAATCTAACGAAAATATAACTAGAAAAAAACCCACGCAGACCAGGCAGCAGATGGGACTCAAACCCGCACCCTTCGCTATCCGGGCAAATGCACTGACCAATTATGCTACCGCGGCCCTGATGGCCGCGTCGAAATTCCTCTAGCCATTCTTAAGCTGCAAGGCAGTGCAACTTTTTTTTCTAGTTATATTTTCTTTAGATTTAAAAATGAAGCAGTTACATGCTTAAAAATAAAAATTACAACTAAAACACGCTTTTATTTACTGCACTAAAAAGCCAAAAATAAACAAAATATGATCTCTGTTTAGACTTCATTAGAGCCTTAGAGTTAGCCATGTTTATAGTTTATTTTATTAACATACATATATAACTGAAAAAGCGTGGGGCGCTGTTCATTGCAATATTTATCAAATCAATTAATATTTATTACGTGATTCATAATGAATTTAAGAATTCAGTTAAAATAGTCTAATGAAGCGCCTCACGCTTTTTCAATTGAATGTATATATATATAACTGTAAGGCTCTAATGAAGTAAACAGAGAGTATGTTTTGTTTATTTTTGGCTTTTTAGTGCAGTAAATAAAACCGTGTTTTAGTTGTTTTAAAACTATTCATTTATTTTACAAGTTTCAGTCATCAGGAAAAATAAAAAGAATATGTTAAGACGAATCTAATGAGCCCAAACTCGATATGGTAACTAGTAGGCAGACCAAGGTTCCATCAGCAACTTTCCAGTCCCATCATCAGACCAGTTCGATGGTGCCATAATATTGTATTGTCATCTAATCTACATATAATTGCCAAGTTTCATGATGATACAAGAATTAGAAGTGCGTGTAATTCAGATTCGTAAATTTTATTACATAGTTAGGTACATACAAGTCGACCTAATAAAAGCGTGTTAATAAATTTCATCCCTGCAGTCTGGGCGGATCTCTTGTTATATATATTTTTACGATAACTAAATATCACCTCTGATACACAATGCAGACAATTCACCAACATAATTATTCGTTTATTTTTTTTATTTAAATTGACGCAAATCTCTTCTGTTTACAATTTTCTTTTATTTATGTATTGGTGTTGTACGAATCTTTCTATTAAGTAATATCAGTTGAAGGAACAAGAAATCATCAAGATAATAATATTATATAATATGTGAAATCTTGTAAGTATCTGGTACAGTAATTAAGTATGTACTTAATTACAAATAACCATGTCCACAATCTTACCAAATTACAACCTTGTTTCTTTACTTGAAACCTTTAGCTTGGTTCACACGAGAAAGGTCTGAGGAGTTAAGTAAATAAATAACTACTAATACAAAAAATCTTTAAAAATATGAAGAGAAGTAAGTCAAAATATAACTCATAACGTGAATTTACTGTCTATTATTATAATGAAGATAACAATTTAAAATAACATTTGACGCCATCTACACATTCTGACGTTGAGTTTCGTTGCTCACCAGATCGCTAATCCATAAACATTTTAGCACGTGCTCCGTCTCTGTTACATGGTAGTTACTGCAGTTTAGAACAGATGTCGCCGTCTTGGAATTCAGTTAGGTTTTATTGTTTTGCTGCAATAGCAATAGTTACATCACCGCGACATTGTGACCTTGGTAACTTTATACAAGTAAATAAGACCATTTATAAAAAAATACCCGATGCGCATTCTTAACAATAAGACTATTTCTGATTCAACGTTTTGTTCTCAATCTCTGTATTGCAACTCAAAAACATGGCTTTTGTTACGATTTGTTTAAAAACAATAAAACAAATACTTCTCACCTGGTCGCTTCCTTTTTCTACGTTTCCGTTTACGAATTCTATCACCAATATTATCACTAACATCAGTATTCGTGGACTCATCACTCGCATACACATTTTTTGCTTTTTCTATAATTGTATCTACAATACACAATATAAGAGCTATCATATTTACACTTGTGACCTTCGTACCGTCTTTAACACAAAGTTTTAAGGTCTCTTTTTTCTCTTTTTTATCTTGTGCTGTAATTTGCTGAATACTGGTCTCTTGTTTTCAGTTTTTAAACAGAAATCTTTAAAAATCCTCATAACCCTGACAGTTTATGATACGTCTAACTCACTCAACCAACACTCGTGTTTCTTTTGTTTATACACGTTGATAGTTTTTAAGAAGTTTATCTAACAGGTTATCAGTAAGACTCTGTTAGCTCTTATACGACGAGTACTTGACTGAGGAACACACACTGTACACATGACACTCCGAGAGCCCCACAGTGATTTCTTTATAAGGTTATAAATATAAAAGCAACACTATATCTGATCATCGAGAAATAGGTTTGGACTGAATGTAGTCTAGCTCTAGTTTTTTTTGGACGATTGTTCATTGAAATCTTTGTGATTTAAATACAACAAAATAGAAATACTTTCATGGCCCATTATTTCTATTACAAACTTAATATAAAAACTCTTTTATAATTATCCGGAAGTTTATCATAAAGATTAATTAATTAAATTAAGAATTCGTTTTAGTTTTACTGCTATTATAACGACGATCTAAATTGAATGTATACGTAGGTTTTAGGATAGTAATCACTTAATCAGTATGAAATCTAATAACGTATTGTTGAATCAAATCAAATAAGTTATGATATGTTATGATAATCCTACAAGGTCTGATTGTGTTTTGAAGTGGATTCAATTTCAATTTACTAAAAGCTTTAAGATTTTTTTTAACGACCTAAAAACAGACTGCCTTTCTCATGAACACTTCCAGGAATATGAAATTATTAATTTTATTCCAATAAAGCAGATTTTGACTTACTGTCTTTAGACAGTGTAGAACCTTTTTGTTTAATCTAATTTGTGAACTTCTATTGTTGTTTTAATATTTAGCGTAATGTGTAAAGTGAAATATGATTATTGTTTTAGAAACATAGATCCCCCTAATTAAAATTTGTAGTATGTGTTTGGTTTGTTAGATGACACATATATTGTTTGATTATTTATTTTTGAAATTCTTATTTAATTAACTGTACTACTTCTAGTACGTAGCAGAAGTTTTTAAGTCATTTGTTAAAAGTAACATTATTAACAAAGGTTAATAATCATATATTTAAAAAAATGCACTCACCCAACATTCTGTTTATTTCTCCCTTCTCAGTCATCATCGTCATCCGTGTTCTTCATGACTTTTCACTGAAATAAACAAATATTTATTCACAAATATACATAAACACAGACTTTTTACTATTATTAATAATTAAAAAAAAACAGTTTTACATTAATCTTATATATACCCAAATTAGGTTTAGGTTACAGTAACGTGTAACGAGTTCGATTTCAACCGATGAACTTCTTTTATGTACTGCAAACTTTGCAACATTAAAAAAAAATATGCTAGGTACTTTAACTTTCCATAGAGAAAAAAACATTTTAGGGCGATACCCGTGCTGTAATCAATGTATTGCCGTTTGTTGAAAATTACCTACGTACCGTAGTATCCTTCCTATCAGCTCCAAAACTGTGTACAAGCACAATAAATAACGAACACTCAACAGATCAACTACAATCAACGCTGTAACTGTACAGTAAACTTATCAACGTAATAATCACATGGTTTTCACTGAGAAAAGGGAAATCGTTAAGAAATTAAAGGGAAATAGCGTAAAGATTTTCCCAACTGAGGCAGAGACATCTCGCCAAGGGTTGGAAAGCGAGCCTCACGGAAATGCACGAGCTTTCCCGATGGCGGCCGAATGCAAATTTTACCCGGGGGCGGGCTTGGTGCAATGACCCCTTTAAAATTATTATTAAAATTCCGATAAAATCTTACAAAGCAAATTCTTACTGATATTAAATTTGGGAAAGTAAAATTTTGTAAATAAAATAATTACTAAAAATATAATACAGGGAAATGATTATTTTATATTATATACGAGCTAACGGCTCAATTGATAAATTACTAACATAATAATCGTTAAATCTTATTACCAAAAAATAGCCAAAAACTAAAATAGGTAACTTTACTTTTTTATATTTATTTGTGCATAATAATATGAATGACTCATGCTAAATTGTTAGTAAAAAACAATTATACCTGTTTCTGGAACAAATTATCTTGGTAAATAAAACTCTGATATGTTCTTTATAATGATTTGACATAGGTAACAGCAGCGTCGGGTCAACATCAAAACTTTAACATTTTCCTGATATTATGAACCATTTGTACCAAAAGTCTTATTTAAACTATTGAAAAATATGGAATAATGTGTTAAGCACGATTAGCCTTAATTTAAATTAAGAACTTAAATGCAAGTTTGCCTAGTGTACTAAAAAGACTAAAAAATATATATTCTAATTTAAAGTCTTCGGATAATAAATTACTTCTTTAAGTTATCCTGAAGCATTCTATGTACTAAACAAAGATATCCTATCTCACTAATATTTTCAATGACAAAATGTGTAAGTTTGTTTATTTGTTACTCAATCACGCAAAAACGACTGATCGGATTTGGATTAAAATTGGCACACATATAATTTTGTGTCTGGAATTACGAATTTGTTTATTTATTATAAAGACAATTACAGTTCGATATATTTGTACATGAAAGTTTGTTTGTAATTGTGTAGGCCAATTACGATCATCCACGAATGTCATTTATATCAGATACTTTTTGTACCGGTTTTTTTTTGTTTCTCATAAATTCTAAAAAACTGACTATAACACGAACGAAAACGCGGGCGGAAGCTAGCATGTAAAACACAAAAACTGAATCCGGGCCTGTGGGGCTACTACCACCCTGCAGTAAGGTCGTCGCCATATTTTTCGCGCATGCGCACAAATTTTCCTGTACACAGCAATCACTACACGTACAGCCTACAACATACAGTGCGGATGTGTTACCATCAAAAATAACTACCGAATTAGATGGCCCTAAATCCTTTTATCTATCTATGTGAAGCATTCGTAAACTTTATCTTGTTCGAAAAAACAAACAAAAATCGGTGTTATTTGGCAAATAGAGGCAGGAGTGTTGTTTTAAGATTGCGTGCGCAACCCTGTGACGTAGGCGAGCGCATTGACAGCATTTTAAGGATCAATATAATGACGTCACGCCATTGAGCTAGCTGATATATACATTCCTCGATCCGGAAATAGTTGCATCACCTATAAATAGATTGAGACAACTTATTATCTCTGGGAAAGTTAAAGTAAGCTTTCTAGTTTTACTACTTTTATATCGTAGATAAAAAGAACAACTTCGCCTAGAGGTATCAGGCTGGAATAGAACCTTCATCCTTTGCTTTCTCTGCGACTACTATGCTACCGAAACAATTACCGGCGTGTGCGAGTTAAACTTTTAACTCATAAAAGAAAAAGATTTAAAGGAAATTGGGCAAAATTGTATGGACGCTGCACCCACGTCCGCCACGGCTTAAACTACACTTGTTTGAAAGGTATTATAGTCATGATCATCTGTGCCAAAGCGTATCAAATTCCATTCCGGGGGTCTTTAGTTATTTTAAGTTAAATAGGTACAAGTACTAACGAACGAACATTAATGAAACAAGGGAATTAATTTAGTTAGTTAGTTCGACCCTACATAGAGGGCTCAGGTAATATGGGAGTAAGTACTTCACAAGGTGAAAGGGTGCCCACTTATGTTATTCTGCCGCGCTAAAGTAAATCCAAAAATCCCCGCATGGGTTGGGGTTTTTTTCAAACAGTCTGTTCGTTATAGTAAATTATCTTCTATGTAAAACGGAGCGACCACAAATCACACAAACTCGTCCACGCTTCGGAGAAAACATCATGCCAGTTCATCCATACTAATTGACAAAACCGATAATCGTGTTCAATGTCCAAAGCGTGTTAGATATAAAACAATCAAGTGATATGATAGAAGCGCACAATCACAAAGAAGTAAAACGAGTCGACTATTTGCAACTGCAAGTCCTTAAACCCCCGTAAACCGTTTGTGGTGGCTCAGTAAGTGCAAGCGCAGGATGGTCGGCAGGCTTTGTCGTATATCTGGTTGTATATATGGCTGTTGTCGTAAAGTACGATATGGCATATTATTATGGTTACTAAATTAATTTTATTGTTCCTTCATTCTATATTAAAATGAATAAATAAAATTAATTTATTTAGCTACTTAAATATGCCCACGTGTCATATCTTTTGACTACCAGGATATTTTTTGCGGTGTCATATTTCTTGACTACCGGGATATTTTTTTACGGTGTCATAATAAAAAAGGCTAGTTTTTCATAGATCTATCGATTCATACTAATTACATTGTTGGCGGAGCTGGGTGTGTTTTGCCCATTGTCCTTTGTCATGTAAGCTTTTTTGGTAAGTTCGGTAGGTAATATTTTCACGAATTGTGAACCGATTTTTATAATTCTATTTTATATAAAACTGTATTTCTCCCAGGGTCACATATCCACAGATTCAAGTCAGGATCTGATGGTATTCCGAAGAAATTTTCAAAATTCATGGCATTTTTTTTTAGTAACTCGTCCATTTACTCTAGGAAAGTGCCATGTGGTGAAAAGCAATTGATTTTGAAGACCACATAATTATGATACCCAGAACTAATAAATATTATGTACACCAAGAAATGCAATACGATAACTATTTGTCATAATCTTAATAGTAGAATGAAGCTGATAGTGAATTCACTGTAGTTAACGGCGCTGAATTGGGATATGCAACATTTTGTTAAAGATAATGGTGTCAATTCTGGTATAATTCTCTAAACTTAAAACTAAATTTAACATCAGTCTCGCCCTCACATTCTGTATAGAGAATAACAAAGATACACTATTGTCAAATTTAAGTTAAGTTTTAGATAATCATGTCAGAATCGACACTATTAGTTTTCATTGACTTATTTCACTTAAAAGACTTAATACCTACACACTTTTATTTTGTTAGACGAAACCTAAAAATTCACACAAGGTAAACGTTTTTTCACAAACTACGCGTAAAATTATATATACAAATGGATTTATTCATGTTTAAGTAAATACAACGCTTAGGTATTATTTTCAATATAGAAGACGTTTTTTAATAAAAAAAAATACTTTGAATAAACTTTATGATCATAAATCCACAGATAGTCAGCCTTCAATTAACGTAGGAGTAATGAGTCGTTCGCAGTACAATGAGTCTGTCTGTTCAAAAACCAAGGTCTCAGAGAGGAAACAAATCTTTTTTGAACAAAATTCAACCCTACTGCTTTCGAAATAAAAACTC